GGATGATTTTAATCGAGGTCGAATCATTGGGAAGTTGGAGGAAGGCCGCAGTGTGACAAGTGTGGCTGCAGAGTTCGGAATTGCTCACAGCATCGTTTCACGACTTTGGAGACAATTTCAAACTACAGGAACAGCTATCCGGGGGTTTAGTAGTGGTCGTCCACGAGGAACCACACTCGCAGATGACCGGTATATTGCCTTACAGGCCAGAAGAAACAGGCGACAGACAGCGGGAGAAATCGCTAGACACACGACACAGGCGACTGGACGACCGATATCGCGTTTTACCGGGGCCAGAAGACTGCACGGTGGTGGTCTGTTTGCACAACGCCCTGTACGGTGTGTACCTCTAACGCCTGCCCATCGGTGAAGGCGTTCTCTGTGGTGCCGGGAACACCGGAATTGGAGAGACAATGAATGGGGACGAGTACTCTTTACAGATGAGAGCAGATTCAGTCTGAGTAGCGATTCTCATCGCATACTCATCTGGAGAGAGCGGGGCATCCCTCGAACATCATTGAAAGGGACAGGTATGGAGGTGGCGGTGTTCTCGTTTGGGGGAGGCATCATGCTTGGTAGTCGTACTGACCTTCACATCTTCGACGTAGGTTTAGTCAACGGGACCCGTTATTGTAACGAGATTCTTCTTCCATATGTGCGTCTTTTTAGAGGCGCTATGGGTCCTCAGTTCCTTTTCATGGACGACAATGCACCATGTCATCGCACAGTAGCTGCCGAACAGCTCTTAGAGAGTGAGGATATTGAACGTATGGATTGGCCGGCACGATCTCCGGATCTCAATCCCATCGAGCATGTATTGAATTTTCTAGGCAGACGCTTGGCAGCTCGTACCTTACCACCAGTAACGATTCCGGAGCTTCGATTGGCGCTGCAAGATCAATGGGCAGCAATGCCTCAACAACTCATTGACACCCTCATTCTCAACATGGGCAGACGCTGTGAAACCTGCCTAGCAGTCAGGGGAGATCATATCCCCTATTAAAGACCGGATGTTTCTTGCTGGACACCCATCACAGGGATGTTTCGGCCTTCAGTCGCATTGCGCTCCATGCTACTTTTTCAATAAAGCTTCTTTTTATCCCTCTGATTTCTCTTTTAGTAAGTGTTGCTTACATTACTCATGTCCTTACGTATTGAGGATCTTACGGTATTAAATGTGTTGATTTGGAAAGCTTTTGTACAAAGTTATATTGAAAAAACCGTCTCGTCCTTAATTTTTGCATACCAGTGTATTTGTGTGTGTCTCAATTTATGTACTACTTTGTTGTTACTACTGAGAATGCAAAAATCAACCTTACTACTCAACTGTTAGAAAAAACCTCTGTTTATATTATTGTATCTCTGTTGAACCTCTGTTATATCTCTGTTTATATTCATTATTTTTATTATTTTATAGTTTTCAGTTTCGATATATAGGCAGATTATTTATTTTTTTTCTTAAATCTATTCCTTTCTGTTTAAAGCTTTATTTTGAGGTTTAACACAAATATGAAACAATTTAAAGTGAACTATTTTAGATCTTTTATTTTGCAACTGCTGAAATCATATAGGTGGTTTCGGGTTTTATTTGGAACAATAATATTATATACTATTTAATTTTCTAATTACCGCCTTAATTTCTTTGATCTGTGTATAATATTTTAAGGCGCCCAGAATCCTCTAAAATGTCAGAATTAATATTTTCATAGTTAATCCCAATTATACATGCATTGGAAATGCATATACTGGAAATATATTCAATAGCATACACAGTAATTGTTGCTATGTTTATCAAGATGTCTTTCTTGAAAATATTCCGGCTTGCATCTTTTTCAAAGAACTGTTGTGATATTATACTACTTACTGCACATTATCATCTTCACCGATACTGTAACATGGTCTAGTGTTCCCATAAATTTTGAAGAATATTGTGGTGTCTTCGTTCTGAAGTGTTGAGTCATTTAATTCACAGTGGTTGTCTTCTGATTATTTACTGTTGACATCAACAATCACGATTAAAACAAATATGAAATATCATACGCGGCACAATGCCGGATCTATACATCTTACCACATCATCGTTTAGTTCTAACTATATTCGCCCCCCCCGTCTCGGGAAAAGCCAACATTAGTTTATTCCTTTGAATACTTTGTATATAAAGGACATTATCATCATACTAGCTACTACTATAAATTTTATCTTACTAACTACCACAAGCTAAATGCAAATAGAAAAGAAAACAATTATCATCAAAGAATCATTCATATCTCTTTCCCAGTAGTTTTCACTGTGATACTTCTTACCTTGTTATCACGGCCTTTATGAAATTCCATCACCTTTCTCAGCTTCCACAGCTGTCGAGGTAGTTTGTCATCCCCTATCAAAACTACATCATTTATATTAAAATCAGTGGTTACATTTACAGGTTTGAAACAATTTGCACCTTTTAATTGGAGAAGATACTCTCTTTTCCATCGTCTCCAAAAATCATTTAAAACTTTCTCCCTATACAAATATCTTTTAATTAAAATTCTTTTGTTACTTGCAATATATTCGTTAACATGACCAGCCTGGTGCGGTAAGGATGTTTGTTAACCGTTTTCCAGTTAGGAAATGAGCAGGAGTGAGAGGGAATGGCTCTGATGGATCATTGTAAACGTAAGTAAGTGGTCTAGAATTTAGAACAGATTCTATTTCTGTCAAAATGGTTTGTAATTCTTCAAAGGAAACTAAAGCCTTTCCTATCACTTTTCTCAAAATACCTTTTGTCATCTTCACCATTCTCCCCCAGTATCCACCCTACCAAGCTGCTCTTTCGACAATAAAATTCTATCTTATTCCTTTGTGACAAAATAATTTTGTACAGATGGATCAACAATGTTTGCATATAACTTCTTTAGTTCTACATCTGAAGCTTTAAAAGTTTTGGCATTGTCAGAGTCTATAGTTCGGAAAACACCTCTTCTTGACACAAAGCGACGAAATGCTAAAAGGAAATGTTCGGTGCTTAGGCTAGAAAAAATTTCAAGATGAACTGCATGTGTGACTGCACAAATAAACAAACAAATGTAAACCTTGCCTCAATTTTTCGTAAACAATGGTCCAGCAAAATCAACAGCTACGATTTCAAAGGGATTCGCTTCATGAATTCTGTCCGCTGATAATGGAGCAATCACTTGAGTGCCCTTTTTAGCTTTAAATTTCCTGCAAACGAAACAGTTATTCAAGCACGATTTTACAACTTGTCTGCCTCGGATGATCCAATAATTTTCTCGAGTTTGAGTGAGTGTATCTGAAACACGCATGCAGCAAGTTCTCATGTTCTCATTTGATTAGCAATTCAGTGAATCTAGATTTTTTCGGTCCCATCCATGGATAATCCATGGATGCTTTTCTTGAAACTGAAAGTCAGAATGTTGTAATCTACCACCAAGACATATAAATCCTTCTGCCGTCAGGATCGGGTTTAGACCATGTAATTTGGAATCGGAACTAAGTGATTCCTTTCGGGTTCATTTAATAAGATAATTTTCAAACTCACTACGCTGTATAAAACGAATCCAATAGTGCTCAGCACTTGCAAGTTCTTCAGCAGTTAGCGCTCCTTTACACCTTTCGGAATACCTCTTATAGTTATTAATAAACCGTAGGACGCATGCAGTGATTCGAAGAACCTTAGATAAGTCACTTTATCTGTGAAAATTCAACAAGCTATCGGTACGTTCAACCTATGTTGGTAAAGCAATGCAGTTCTTTTTTCTCTCTTTTTCCGCTTCAAATGCATCAATATTAGCATTCTGTATTTCTTCACTGTTTAGAACATCAACTTCTATTAGCCACAAGGGGCATCTCCACCTTGTTTCATTATTAATTAAAGATCGTGCACTTACTCCCCTAGTAAGTTTATCTGCAGGATTCAGCTTTCCGTTGCAAAAATTCCAATTCGATGGATTTGTCTTTTCTTTGATTTCCAACACTCTATTGCGGACGAATTGTTTCCAATCGTTCACAACACCTCTAATCCAATGCAGACATATTGTGGAATCTGTCCACATGAAAATGTCACTTTCTTTCAAAGAAGAAAACGTGGATCGTATATAATCAGACAATCGTGCGGAAATAAAGTTTCCTAGTAGTTCTAATCGTGCAAAGTCATTCTCTTCAGTGGAGCTAGACGACATTTTGAAATTACAAAACTTGTCGCACATTTGTCATGGTACCTAATCTTGAAATATGCGACGGCCCCATATGCTTTTGGGCTTGCATCAGAAAATATATGTACTTCCAAGCTGCTGAATGTCCAGCTCGTCAAAATATGGTCAAGGTATGACAAGCCTGTCAAGCTCGGTTACTTCATTTCACCACTCCTGGAACATAGATTCCAATTCTGCTGGAATATTTTCATCCCATTTTAAGCCTTTTTCCCAAAGAGTCTGCATTATCAATTTAATTCTAACACTGAATGGTGTAATTAAACCTAATGGATCAAACAACATGCCACATGCACTTAGAACTGTACGTTTTGTTGGTGTCACATAATTTCAATTTTGTAAATTCTGATTCAGATCTATCTTCAAGGTGTCTTTATCATTGTCCCAAATTAATCCTAATACCTTTAACGGTATATCTGTTTGATTTGATGGCGTCCGACATTCCATTTGGGTTTCCTTCCATCTTTGATTAAGGATAGCTGAATTCGAAGACCATTGCCGTAAATTCATGTTTTCATGCCTCACTCAGTATAAATGTAGAGTCTCTTGCAAGAGATACTGCTTCTTCAACAGTTGATGCCCCACTTATTATGTCATCAACATAAAGTTCTTTCAAAATAGAACATGTTTCATTGTGTGAATTTTCATATTTCTTTAAACGAAGTCGTATAGTTGCGGTCAAAATAAAAGGACTACATTTCACACCAAAAGGAACACGTGTCATTCGTAAAATTCTTATATCACGACCATTGAAATCAAGTTCTGTCTCCCCCCATTTCTCCATAAAAACTACAAAAACTTTCGATTCTCCTCTACTATGCCAATCTCTGAAAATGCTCTCTGAATATCAGCACAAAATGCAATTGAGTGATAACGAAATCTTAAAATAATCCTGAGCAAATCTGGATTAAGGTTGGGACCACTATCTAAACAATCATTCAACGACTGTCCATTTCTAACTTTCGACGACACATCATACACAATCCTAACTTTCGTACTTTCCTTTGATTCGCGTACTTCAGTATGATAAGCATAAAAATAATCAATTTTCCTATCACAATCTCCATGAAATGTAACTTGCTCAATAATACCATCCCTTAACTGCTCATTAATTATTTCTTTATAACGAAAGTACAGATGCGGATCATGCCTAAATTTATTATTTAAGCTTATCAAACAGCTTTCTGCAACTTCATACTTACTGTTCAATGTGTTACAACCCTCCTTCCATAATAATTTAATTTCATACCTCCCATTTTTAAACCTAGTATTTCTTTCAAACTTATCTATAGCATCTGCCTCTGATCGCAAAATTTCCTTTTCCTGATTTATTGCTATAGCCTCCAAATCCCATAAATTCCGATCTCTTTCAAAATCTGTTTGTTCCATCACAGAGATATGGGTTTGCACAATTCTTATCATACACATAATTGTTATGATTATCCGATCCCATTTCCTTACCTTGTATTACAAACTAAAACAAACTGTCCGTAATAACTAATCGTTTCCCTAATCTTACGTTTCTTTCATATAAAATTTACGAAATTTAATCTGAGCCGATCAACATGTGTATCTCCTGCGTATTTCCAATCTCGGCCAATTCTATTCCCTTACTTAGAGCCATGTTTCTAACCCACTTTGAAGGAACTTGTATGTGATCATGCATAATGGCAAAAATTACTACTGCTTCTATGCTGAGTTTTTTACTTGGGTTGATTCTATTCCGCAAATCAAGCTGAACTATATTATACTGCTGTTTAGGTTTACGCACGCTCCCAAACTCATATATTTCAAACGTTTCACATCTGGTAGCCTTCAATCCTAATGAGTCAGCAGTTTTCCTTCTTATAAACGTTCTATTACTCCCGCCGTCTATTAACACCCTCAAGATTTCGCTCTTTTTATTTGTTTTCACTATAACGTTGAATGTTTGTAATAAAACCGGGAACGACGCTCCTGCGCTCTCGGTTTTGTTTACAGATCCCCTTTTACTTCCTCTGAAGCAATGCAATGACTGTACCGTAGATAAATTATTGTTCGTTTCTTTACAATTTGATTCAATTAACCCAATGGTAATGGGATGGTGTCCACGTCCCCCGTCGCATATCACATACCATTTGATTCAGCTGCATTATTTGTCGGTTCAACCTTATCGCATGTTAAATAATTGTGAGGTATTTTACATATTTTGCAGAGCTGGTCCTTTTTCCAGCAAAATTTCGACGTATGTCTACGTTTCAGACAAATATAACATTGCCCCTGTGATTTTAACGAGTTTCTTTTTTCTGTTAATGGTAAAGGACATTCATATGTTTCATGAGATTTATCCAAACAAAAACTACATTTCATTCGCTACGGCTGTTAAAGCAGCTGCTGTTGGAATGCGAGCTTTTTAAATGTTTCGTTTTGAGTCTACATAATCTTTCTGATAATTTTGATTCGTTCATCTATTACTAAAAGGAATTTCATTTCGCTTAAAGTTTTTTGAATCTGATAATAAAGAAGACGCTTCTCTTATGTCTACCTCTTTTCTCAAAAACTCAACTAAGTGCTCTATATCAAAAGATTCACGCGATTCGCGTTGTCTATTGTAATACAAATTTAGCTCTTCTGGAATTTTCTGTAGTATTAACGGGCAAAGTAAACTACTATAAGTGCCTGCTGCAACACCTAAAGACTTTAATGATCGAATTTGAATATCAATCGTATCATACATTCTTCGCAATGCTGGAAATTTCGCGCATGTCTTAACGGAATCAATCAGCAACAGTTTATTCATGTGCGAGCTAATAATCAAATCTAGCCTTCCGAATCTTTCTTTTAACAACTTAATTGATGAATCATAATTTTCGTTTGTTAACGAAAATCCCGAAACTTCTGATAAGGCAGTACCTCCTAAAACTGTTTTCAGATACGAAAACTTCTCAACCTTACTTAAGGAATTGTTATTATGAATAGCTACTTCTTAGGAATTCCAGAAATCCAACCAAGAGCTACAATCCCCATAAAACTTCTCAATACTTAATTTCGGAAGCTTAACTACACTACTTTCGTTTCTTACTTCGCGTTGTTCCAACCTAACCTTTTCATTAACCCGAATATCATTTTGCGAAGCCCCGTTAAAAGCACTTTCTATATGCCTGTCCAGTTTCTTTTTCCATTGAATACCACGTTCCTGATATTCTTCACTCTCAGCAATTTTGTTTTCTAAATCATCTATACCGATTATCACTTCTATTTCACTATCTAAACCCTTAGGATTCTTTATCCTTTCAATCAACTGGTTTCTTTGATCATAAAGATCATCAAGGTTTTGTTCCTTTCTGTAATTTTCAATTAAAGGTTTATTTATTGCGTCTTCAATTTTGTCAAAAGATTACAAGAAAGCTGCCTAGTGCAGTTTCGTTTCTGCTTTAACCTTTCAACTCGTTTCACCATGTTTGCATAAACTACTTCTGTTTTCAAAACTAATTTTCAAATCAATTTACAACAACCAAATTTAATCAAATCACCACTATAAATTCAAAACTTCCTATCACATACAAAATCATAACACATCAAGAACTGAATCTAAAGGGACCTACCTTAATTCCATGGTCGTGAATCAGAAACTTTGAAGAAAGGTTCACATTCCATCAGAAGATTCGCAGTTATCCCAAATCACGTCCGGGGTTCACCAACAAATTGTGGTGTCTTCGTTCTGAAGTGATGAGTAATTTAATTCACAGTAGTTGTCTTTTGATTATTTACTATTAACCTTAACAATCATGATTAAAACAAATAGGAAATATCATACGCGGCACATCTATACATCTCACTACATCATGGTTTAGTTCTTTTCTAACTATATCCCCCCCTCGTCGCGGTAAAAGCCAACATCAGTTTATTCCTTTAGGGAATTTTAGTTGAAACAAATATGAAATAATATTTCATTTTCCGAAGCTCACTCACTATCGCAAGTCGGCGATAAAAACTTCCTTGAATGGTGCATTTTTTTGCACTACAACGTTTACTGTTGTAATATCTAACTAGAAATTCATTTTATAAACGTGATTATATTATTTTAATATAAACGTTATTTAAATATACTGTAGTAATAAAAAACGTACGATACATTTTATTTCTTGTATAATAGGATTAATTAATAGAAAGATGGAAAGAGTATCGAGAAAGTTTCTCATTTGAAAAATTTCCGATATAAATGTAACTTCCTGTAACTAGTCTACAACAGTACATGAGATTGAGGTTTCAGACTTCGAGCAAATTAACAAAATTGAATTTTTAGGCGGGTAAGGGGAAATTCTTCCTGACAGCTAATAATTTCAACCAAATTGCTAATAAACACAAATTCCATCTAATCGAATATCACAGAAAAAATTCTATATAAATGTCACACACATATATTTATATATTTGTGAATTCTGCCCTTTCGAAATGCAGCCTATTAATAGGAAATGTTCCGCACTTCTATAAATATAAATTTTTCAAATGTTGCAAAAAAGAACGCTAAGTATTAAAATAAAATGTTATTAAGAATACGAATTTGAAAACTAAATGAACATTGAAAATTATGCAGATACATACAGATTGTTTATAAATGATTTTCAAATTAAATAACACTAAAACTAGTATAAAAAATAAATTACATTTTCATGTATCGTCAAACTGAAGAAAATGTAGTTCAGTACACATGCAGCATTGGTAGTTCTAGTGTCAATAGCAGTTTAGAAATTGCTCGGCAATACTATTATTTGTATGGATTTCTCGGTTGTTTTTGTTTTTATTTATCCATTTTTTATGTTCAGAAAAAATTTCATCACGAGTTTGTGAGAAAGGCAGGAAAAAAATGCAGCAGCAGTAATCATATTAACGTCTGGAATTTCTTTGGTAGAATAACTGCAAAGGACATGGAAATTCATTATTTGCACACGGAAAACTTATATCATTCACTGAGAAAATCGATATTTTGTCTAAAGGCGACTCAGTTAATACTTGCCAAAAATGAAATAATGTGTAAACTGGTATTTCCTCAACACATTCCTAAGCGGGAAGCATTCTGCTCTTACAATGAAATCGAAACTAATACGAATCTTCTTATCGGAAACTTGATTGCCTTTGCAGAAGCATTTCGTGTTTCACTCCTGCGGACGGATAAAATCCATTCGCTGCAACCGTAACTCTTCGCTGACTATTTACTTAAGATATAACCTCATCGATCAGGTACATCTTAAACAAATAGTCAGCGGAATAGAACGTGTACGTTATTGGAAACGTATCTGTTTTTATTTGCGAAGCGACAAAATATCATGTTACAGGCTTTGAATCATTTCAAGAATTAATTTTATTTGATACATTTAAGCTTGAAAAACACTGAGGACTTAGACTATACATTCTGTAAAATAAAAAAAAGTTCTTTGTAGGAACCTGCACATTTCTCGACTAAGAAACTTTTTGTATTGATTACGTGTGACATTGTGTTCGGAAAGTATAATGTAGCAATGAAATTAGTAAAAAAATAATCTGGACTGCAAAAGGTTTTTTTTTTCCGAGTCCGACAATAAAAATTACAGAAGATGAAGAGCGAGAATTCTTATTTTCTGCAGTTTTGAAGTCACAGTGAGGTTCAGTTTGTATTTTGAAGAGGAAAAAAACTGCAGTCTTCCATCCAAGACAGAAATAAGGTTTCGGTAGATCCAGAGCTCAGAAGCAAAAACGCTTGCCTCGGATGGGCTTAGTAAATAATGCCCATGATCGCTTCGCTGTCAAAAACATCCGACAGCTCTTTCTCTTTTAGCAAAAACTTGCCTAAACCCTCTTGAGTAATAAGAGAGGCCTTAAGGGCAAAGTTAACCCTAGCTGAGGTGAAATTTATTCTAGAGTCTTTAAAAAATGACATTTAAATTTAGGCACTTATGAGAAGCGGAATTGAGGAAGAAGTAAATTGCGCTACAAAGCTATCTGCATTTGAATAACGTTTAAGTGATATTTTTCTTGGGTAAGGTGGTGATTTTATTTCTTGGGTAAGGTGGGTAAGGTGGTGAAGAAATGAAATAAAAATAAAAAGGTATAGGAACATATATTCTTGAACGAATGCTTGACAGATGTTCAATTAAAAACTTAAAATTATAGCTGAATTCGGCTTTTATTATTGCATAAATATTTTATCATTGCACATGGAAAAGAATAAGCAATAATTACGATTGAGAAATGGTGATTAAAAACATCAGTTTCAATTTTCATTTTGTGGAATAGAAAAGTGTAGAAAGATTACCTAATACTAGCAATAAATATACATTACTGTAGTTCCTTCCAACCTCCATTTCTGTTAATTTAACGATTAATCATGTGTATGTAACTGTAAGGCATTTTCCCCTTTTTACCACGTACTTTCGTGCTGCGATTGAAAGCACTTCTGGGTAGAGTTAGAA